CATGGATTCTAGCCAGGGCTGTGCCTTTGTTAATGCTCACTTGCTGTGGGACATTGCCCAATTCCCCAGCCTCTCAGGGCCCTAGTTTCTTTTCCTAAAAAATGGGAATGCTCATTTCTATCCTGCTTACTTCTTAGCTGTATCATAAGGAGAGAGGGTCTCTAGTCTCGTGCTAGACACTGGGAAGGCAACAGGGTATGATGGAATGGATATGGGTTTGGGAACCTGAAAGGCCTGGATTCAATTCTAGACTTTGTCCCTACGAGCTGTGTGAATTTGGGCAAGTTGCTTTCCCACTCTGAGCCAGTACTCTCAATTATAAAATGGTGCTAATCATATTCCTACCTCATAAGGCTGCTGTGAGGATTCAATGAGATGAGAGAGAGAAGGTACTTAGTGTGCTAGTATTAACTAGCACAATGGCAGTAAACTGTAGTTATATCACATTAACAGGAAAAACTCAGGGCCTGGTGTGTGGTTGCAATTCAACAAATGTTTGCTGAAATGAAAGGAAGACATTGTTAAAGGACCCTGAATTGAGATCTGTGCTGTTCAGTAAGGTAGTCTCTAGCCATTTGTGGCTATATTACGTTAATTAAAATTAAATAGGGCCAGGTGCAGTGGCTCACGCCTGTAATCCCAGCACTTTGGGAGGCTGAGGCAGGTGGATCACTGAAGGTCAGGTGTTCGAGACCAGCCTGGCCAACATGGTGAAACTCCCATCTCTATTAAATACACACACACACAAAAATTAGCCAGGAGTAGTGGCATGTTCCTGTAAACCCAGTTAGGAGGCTGAGGCAGGAGAATCGGTTGGACCTGGGAGGCAGAGGTTGCAGTGAGTTGAGATTGAGCCACTGCACTCCAGACTAGGCAACAGAGTGAGACTCCACCTAAAAAAAAAAAGAACAATTCTGTTCCTTAGTTGCATTAGCCACATTTCAGGTGTGGCCTCTGACTACCATTGTAGGCAGTGCATATAGGCATTCCATCATCGAAGGTTCTATTGGGCAGCACTCTAGCGGATGGGGGTGAAAATGGCAGTACCTGTGCAGAGCACTGTGGGTGCTTGTCATCTTATTGAAGGGAATTCAGTGGAATGCGCTCCTCCCCCTGGCGGAGCACAATGTTCCCTACTATATAGGGTTAGGTATCTCAGGCCAAGTCAGGCAGCCCATTTCTTGAGTGTTTAGAATAATGAAGTAACTGGGCACAGAGGCTCATTCCTTTAATCACAGCACTTTGGGAGGCCGAGGTAGGAGGATCACTTGAGGCCAGGATTTTGAGACCTGCCTGGGCAACATAGAGAGACCTCATCTCTACAAAAAAAAGTAAAAATATTATCTAGGCACAGTGGTGTATACCTCTAGTCCCAGCTACTTGGGAGGCCAAGGCAAGAGGATGACTTGAGCTCAGGAGTTGGAGACTGCAGTGAGCTGACTGCACCACTGCACTCCATCCTGGGTGAGAAGATGACCCTGTCTCTAAAAAAATAAAAAATAAACCGGGCGCAGTGGCTCATGCCTGTGATCCCAGCACTTTGGGAGGCTGAGGCAGGCAGATCACGAGGTCAGGAATTCAAAACCAGCCTGGCTAGCATGGTGAAACCCCCGTCTCTACTAAAAATGCAAAAATTAGCTGGGCATGGTGGCACACACTTGTAGTCCCAGCTACTTGGGAGGCTGAGGCAGGAGAATCGATTGAACCCAGGAGGCGGAGGTTGTGGTGAGCTGAGATCGTGCCACTGCACTCCAGCCTAGGTGACAGAGACTCAGTCTCAAAAAAAAGTAAAAAAAAATAAAAAAAATCATACTGTGGACCCAGATTGCCTGAGTGCAAATCCTGTCTTCTCTAATTTTTAAGCAAACTACATGGACTCTGTGCTTCTTTCAGTGATTAAAAGGGGGTGATAATGTTGTACCTCTCTCACAGGGTTGTTGTGAGGAATACTGTCGGATGCACAGTGCTTTCAACAGTGCATATTATAGGGTATGCCTTATTACTATGATGTGTTGATTAGGAAGTAGGTTACTATCATTATCCACATTTTGCAGATGGGAAAATAGACTCAGAGATTACTAATTAGCACAAGACCACATGGCTCATAAATGGCAAAGAAGGAATTCAAACCCTGCATTATCTGGCCTGCCATGAGGGGAGGGGAGCTTTGGGGATATCAGGAGTCCCTGTGGAAGAGTGAGGGGAGTCAGAAGAGTGATGGAGATGAGACTTCCTCTCTTCCTTGGTCTCACCCTGTCCCTCCCCCCTTTACTTTCAGAGACCCTAACCTCCAAAAGAGCTACCCAGTGTTGCTCAACAAAATTGCTGCTCAGGAGATGCCCATTGAGATCAAGCCTGTAAACCCACCCACCCTGAGCCAGCTGCAGAGAATGGAGCCCAAACAGATGTTCTGGGTGCGAGCCCAGGGCTACATAGGTAAGAGGACCCCACAGATGGGAGGAAACCACTCTCCAAGGGGTCTAGGCCTGCCACTCATTTGCTGTGTGGCCTTGGGCACATTAGTTCCTTCTCTGGGCCTGTTTCCTTATCTGCATGATGGGGAAGTTGGCTCAGCTTCTCACTGGGCCCTCTCAGCCCTTTGCATGGGGAGAATGTGGAGGTGACTATAATCCAACACTAGGCCTTTCTGGGGAAGGCAAGGTACCTCGCTGGGGTTGTTGTTCAGCTCTGCTGATAACCGTAAAGTACCTCTGTGCAAACTGGAGGAAGACACCGCTTTGGGGGCCCAGTGTGGGAGACCTGGGTAGTGAAGACTGGATTTCAGTCCTTGCTCTCCCCTGTCCTCCCCATGTCCCCATCTCGCTTATCCCCTGTCTCTCTCTCTCTCTCACACACACACACACACAGAGTAGGCCAAGTGCTCTTGTGCAGCAACCAGTCTGCACATCCATGCATGGGAGTCCCTTTTTCCCTACCTCCCTGCAGGTCCTGAGCTGGAAAGCCCAGGAGCCCAGGGCTGATGGGGATCTGTTGCAGGTGAGGGCGACATGAAGATGCACTGCTGCGTGGCCGCCTACATCTCTGACTATGCCTTCTTGGGCACTGCCATGCTGCCTCACCAGTGCCAGCACAAGGTGCACTTCATGGTCTCATTGGACCATTCCATGTGGTTCCACGCCCCCTTCCGAGCTGACCACTGGATGCTCTATGAGTGCGAGAGCCCCTGGGCTGGTGAGTGTGGGGCCATGTGGGACAAGGGCACTGACCTTGGGTGGCAGGGAGCCTGCTTTCTTGGGTGATGCTGACTTTCCCCGACTTCCTGTGCGCTGCACAGGTCACCTCCTTTCCTTCCCTCCCAGGCGTGGGCATCTTCATCTTCAAAATGAGAGGGTGAGGCCGGGACACAGCTCTGCTCTAAATTTCTAGAACATGGTGGGAATGTCATTCACTTTAATTCAGGGACCTATTTCTAGTCCCAGAACCTCTTCAGATTCTCTGTATGACATTGGGCAAATCGCATCTTTTGTCTGAGCCTCAGTTTCCCCATCTAAACAAAAAGGGTTACATTACAGCAGTGGTATCTAAACCGGGCAGCCCATCAGACTGCCATTTGGGGAAGGTTTTTCAAAATAGATTCTGATTCCACCCTCAAGATTCTGACTCAGTAGGTCTTGGATAAGGTCCAGGAAACTGTATTTTTCAGTTCTCTAAGTGATTCTGATTAACCTGATTGGGTTCAGGGCATTCAGTGGTCTCTAAGGGCCTCACTGCTAGGACATTCCTTGTAGCGGGGAGAGAGAATTGAGACTCATTCATTAATGTCTAGCTTGAGAACCCTGACCTCCTTTCCAAGAGAGTAAATTTCAAATGAAGAAAAGCTTTGCTTGATAAGCCAAGGACAAAACTTATGGACTCTTTATACTCAGATAAGGGGTACTCTCAAGTATCAACAGCATCACAGTCCAAGACTGATAACTTTGAGGTGAGGACATGGGTTCATATTTGGCTTCAGCCTGGAGCCAAATTCCTGACCCCCTCTGGATTTCAGTCATGGTCTGGAAAACTGGACAACACATAACAGCTTCTCTTGGCTACTACGAGACAGAGTGAGCTCTGCTATGTGTAAGGGAAACCAGCAATCATCCCTCATAAACGTCAAACTCAGGCCCCAAGCCAGCAAGGGAGAAAGAATCTTCAGGTGGGGAGGGAAGAGGCCAGACCTCATGGCCTCAGGTCCTCTCTGCTGAGCCCCTTCTTCCCCTTGGTAGTGGTAATAGGGGTATTTTTCATGAATTACCGCTTGGAGAACCTGGCTTGACTTATTATACAGGGAGCCGATAGGTTTCCTAACACAAGCTGCCAGAGGTACAGAAGTTCTGCTTGGCCGAGCTGTTGAAGGAGACTGTTCTCAGAGCTCCTCCCTCTGTGATTTTTTTGAGGAAGTGAGCGAATATGTGAAAGTGCTTTTAAAATGTCAAGCGGGGTTCCTGTGGGAGGAGTTACTCCTCAATGACTGTCCATAAGCTCATGAAGGGGCATTTGGAGCAGCCACAACACTCACTGTACCCTTGTGTTGGGCAGCCCTGTCCTGGGCCAGACCCTTTTCAAGAAGTCCACTTGGAGGTCGGGCATGGTCATGTGTGCCTGTAATCCCAGCTGCTCAGGAGGCTGAGGTGGGAGGATCCCTTGAGTGTGAGACCAGCCTGGGCAACATGGTGAGATTCTGTCTCAGAAAAAAACAAAGAAGTGCATTTGACTGTTCTAAAGTAGAGAGACCATCCTTACCCTTCACCTCACCCACAGGTGGCTCTCGGGGGCTGGTCCATGGGCGACTGTGGCGTCGGGATGGAGTCCTAGCTGTGACCTGTGCCCAAGAGGGTGTGATCCGAGTGAAGCCCCGGGTCTCAGACAGCAAGCTGTAGCCAGAGGTACCAGCTTGGCCTAGGGGTTCAATAACCTAGCTGGTTCAATACTACCATTCCTGGGACAGGAGTTACAGTCCTGCTGGCCCTCACATCCAATAAAGAGACAGATACCACTGGAGTGGCTGGCTTTTAATTCCCCTGGGCCAGACCTGCAGCCTTGCCTTCCTCCCTCAACTCCAGGGGCAGAGTACCTGACCTTCAGCCAGGAGGCCTCACCGGCTTGGGGGCCAACCAACAAGGGAACATTGCCCCCTGACCTGTGCCACAGCTCCCAGCTGTTTGTTTATAAACTGGAGAGGCTGTGTCAGACTTCTTCCCTGTACTAGGATAGTACTATCCTAGGGCAACTCCGGCCAAAGCTCATCCTGAGCCCAGCTCAACACAAGTAAGTTTCTTTGATCTGCTTCACATTCTCTTTTGGAACTTCTAGGGGCTCCCAGCACCCCCTGCAACTTCCCAGCTATTCTGTCCTCATCAGGTCCTTCCCCTGCATTCTGGGGCAGCCTCTCTCCCCATAGTGGCCTTAAATCTAGGCAAGCGTCCTAGATTAGTCCAGCACCTCCTTGATGAGCAATTCTTTCAGACTGGGGGGTGGTGTGGGAGTAAGGCCTGCCTCCTGCAGGGCTTGGAGCCGAGCCTCTGATTGACGTTTGTCCAGGCCCAGGTGCCAGGAGAGCCGGACATGGGCCTCCAGAAAGGGTGCCAGCAAAGGGTGGAGGCTCTTGTCCCCCAGCAGCTGCAGGGCCTTCTCACAGCAAGCCCGGGCCTCCCCAGGGTTCTCCAGCTCCTGGTGGCACACAGCCAGCCCAGCGAGGGTCAGCAGGGGGCGGTCTGGGCCAGAGGGGGTGCCCAGCTGGGCTTGCAGCTGCCAGGCATTGGCCCAGAGTGCCAGAGCCTCACGATAGAGGCCAGTACAGGTGAGGCTCTGTGCCCGCCGCAGCTCTGGCAGCACGAAGAAGTCCTGCAGGTCCGGGGCGTGGCGCAGCTCCGGCACTGCCTGCAGGTGACCCAGAAACTGCTCAAAGGCCCGGCTACGGCGGGCAATGGTCTCTGCAGTAAAATTACGGCGCAGGCGCTTCCGGGGGAATGAGATGGCAGCCATGGGGCCCCGGAATTGCCGCTGCAGGTTTCGGTGCAGCCGCTCAAAGTCCGAGTAGCGGCGAGAGATCTGGGCTGGCTGGCGATCTGGAGGCCCTGGGCCTATCACGGCGAGGGTGTAGAGCTGCAGGGAGGGTGGGTGTCAGGGCAAATGCAAGTTGTCCATGGACCCCTTCCCTCACCATTCCCCACACTCCCAGCTGTGCCTCCTCACCTGTTCCCTTCACCCCTGGGACAGCACCCAGGAGGGCGGGAGCTGTTGCCACAGTGGCGGGGGAGCCCAGTCCCATCTTACCTGAGGTTTGTCTGAAATGACCCAGGCCCAAGGCAGCAAGAAGAAAGAAAGACAGAGATGAGCTTCAGTGCCCAGGGCTAGTACCCCTTTTGTCCCCTTTGTACTCCCTTCCCATAGGGGCAGTTAGTTCTTCTAACAGCCCCCGCTTGAAAACCAGACATAAGCTGAAACCCAAGCCAATCTCTTGGGCCTCCAAGCCAACCTTTAGGACCAGCCCAGAGCTTGTTCCACTTTGGACACCTGGCCTCCACATCCCTGGTCAGGCTCTTCCAAACTAGACCCAGAGGACAGGTCTGCAGACAGCCCCAGTTGCCATAACTGTGAAAAGTATACTGGCCTAGGACTCATGTTCCACCCCAGGTCAGCTACTTCCTCCCTGTGTGACCTCAGCAAGGCAGTCTTCCACTGGGTCCACTTCTGTTCTGTTTCTAGTAAAGGAAGTGCTTGGTCAGGCCAGTGTTTGTCCAAAGATGGGACATATACAAGTATTGGTACCTGAGGTTTTTTGGGTGATGTGTACTAGAGTAAATATCACTGCATCAGAATCAGGAGGTGGTTCACCTTTTAATTTTTTTTTTTTTGAGACCAAGTCTCACTGTGTTGGCTAGGTTAGAGTGCAGTGGTATGATTATAGCTTACTGCAGCCTCAACCTCCTGAGTAGCTAGGACTACCAGCATGCACCACCACACCCAGTTATTTAAAATCTTTTTTTTTCTTTTTGTAGAGATGCGGGTCTCGCTATGTTGCCCATGCTGTCCTCGAATTCCTGGCTTCAAGCAGTCTTCCCACCTTGGCTTCCCAAAGTGCTGAGATTACAGGCATGAGCACTGCACCCAGCTTAAGCCTGTTTTAATCTTTCTGACTACAAATTGAGGAGCTCTCAGTTTGGTTTTTAAAAAGTACTTCTTGGGCCAGGTGCAGTGGCTCACACCAGTAATCCCAGCACTTTGGGAGGCCAAGGCGGGAGGATCACCTGAGGTTGGGGGTTCAAGACCAGCCTGACCAACATGGAGAAAAATACTGTCTCTACTAAAAATACAAAATTAGCTGGGCACAGTGGTGCATGCCTGTAATCCCAGCTACTTGGGAGGCTGAGGCAGGAGAATTTGCTTGAACCTGGGTGGCAGAGGTTGCAGTAAGCTGAGATCACACCATTGCACTCTAGCCTGGGCAACAAGAGTGAAACTCCATCTCAAAAAAAAAAAAAAAAAAGTACTTCTCTAACACTTCTCATCTCTGTTTTAAGAAAAGAGCCAGAAAGTGGATCTCAGGTCAGGGCCTCTTTCAGGCAACAGCTTTTAGGCAAGATTTAATGATGTTTCATTTTCACTGCTTTTATTTTTATAGCTAGCTTCTCTTTGTGGCAAGTGAGGCTTTCCATGTACAGTAGTGCTATGAAGTTGTCTTTTAAACTTATTTAAAGGATGGGCACAGTGGTGTGGCTCATACTTGTAATCCCAGTAGTTTTGGAGGCTAAGGCAGGAGGACTGCTTAAGGCCAGGAGTTCGAGACTAGCCTGGGCAGCATGGCAAGACCCTGTCTCTAAAAAAAGAAAGAAAGAAAGAAAAAAGAATTAGCTGGGTACTTGTGGTCCCAGCTACTCAGGAGGCTGAGGCAGGAGGGTCATAGAAGAACAGGAGTTTGAGGCTGCAGTGAGCTACCATGGCGCCATTGCACTCCAGCCTAGGCGACAGCAAGACTCCGTCTCAATAAAATAAACAAACTTCATTGAAGAAAAAAATAGGTTTGGCCTGGTGCAGTGGCTCACACCTGTAATCCCAACACTTTGGGAGGCTGAGGAGGGCAGATCACTTGAGGTCAAGAATTCAAGACCAGCCTGGCCAAGAGTGAAACCCCATCTCAACTAAAAATGGAAAAATTAGCCAGGTGTGATGGTGGGCACCTGTAATCCCAGCTACTCAGGTGGCTGAGGTGGGAGGACTGCTTGAACCTAGGAGGCGAAAGTTGTAGTGAGCCAAGATTCCAGCCTGGGCAACAGAGTGAGACTCTGTCTCAATAAAAAGAAAAAATAGGTTAATTTAAAGAAAAATGTTAAGAAGAAAAGGGCACAAGTAGCATTTTAGACAGGACAAGTATCAGGGAGGTACTGGAATGACTGAGGTTTGGGAAAACACTGAACAAGATGATCACTAAGCTCCCTGCCTCCCAGGTCTGAGAATCTGAATATGGATTAACCTATAATAATGCTGAGCCAACAGGTTCAAAAGGAGAGTTAGCAAGTGTTAGATGTTAAAGGCACCCTAACACCAGATCCAGATTTTTCTTTCACATTTGTTCTGTGAACTTACAATACTCTAGCCACCCCTGGTCTGTTAGGTTTGTCTACTCTGCTCTCCTGAAGATTCACAGTGTGCATGAATATTAAGGATTAAAAAGTTTAATAATAAAAAAACTTGCTGTGTTCTCATTTAACTGCATTCTCAAAACATACTGCCTACAAAACGTTTATTTAGAAACAGCTATTGGGGCCGGGCGCGGTGGCTCAAGCCTGTAATCCCAGCACTTTGGGAGGCCAAGGCGGGTGGATCACGAGGTCAAGAGATCGAGACCATCCTGGTCAACATGGTGAAACCCCATCTCTACTAAAAATACAAAAAGTAGCTGGGCATGGTGGTGCGTGCCTGTAATCCCAGCTACTCAGGAGGCTGAGGCAGGAGAATTGCCTGAACCCAGGAGGTAGAGGTTGTGGTGAGCTGAGATCGCACCATTGCACTCCAGCCTTGGTAACAAGAGCGAAACTCCATATCCCAAAAAAAGAAACAGCTATTAACATTCCAGGGAACCAGTTTTCTGCAAGACACACTTTTGGACACCAATTTCCTTCAAGACACAAGACACACTGGTCTATAAGCCTTTATGTTCATCTAGTTTACATTTTGTATCCATTTTCTCATTGATCTTTGTAACATGCAGCCAGATGGGTGATAATGATAGTAGTTCCATTACCCGAGCACTTACCCTGTGCCTCCTGCTGTACCCAGCACTTTTTACATCTATGAGTTCATGTAATCGTCACAACAGCACTGCAAGGAAGGTATCCTTATCTCTGACAGCTGAGGAAGCAGGCTCAACGACTTGCTCTAAGTCACACAGCTGGAAAACAGCCCAGCTGGGATTTAAACCCAGGTTGATCTGATTCTAAAGCCTGTGCTCTTCACCTCACACGTTAAATGGGGAACAACTTGGCCATCCTGCTCTGTCGTGTCATCCCCTTCATCCCCTTCCCATCCAGGTACCCAGAGTCACCCCCATTCCTCTCTGCCTCTGAATTGTTCCTTGGTGTCCCCTTCCTGTGTATGAATCCTCGCCCACCCCAGAGTTCTGAGACCTTTTTGCCACTTCAGACTTCATCATTGGCTACATGTGGTGGTGCACACCTGTAGTCCTAGCTACTTGGGAGGCTGAAGTGGGAGGATCGCTTGAGCTCAGTTGGAGGTTGCAGCGAGCTGTGACTGCACCACTGGACTCCAGCCTGGATGACAGAGTGAGACCATGTCTCAAAAATTTTTTAAAAGACTAAATAATCAGAATCAGTCTCTGCTGAAATGGGAGTATTAACCCGATGGGTGTGGCCCTTGCTCACTAACAGCAACAGAGAAGGGTGGAGAGGCCCAGATGTGGGACTGGGCTCCAGGCCCCCTCCTGCTGAGTCAGAGGTAGAGAAGGGTGATGAAGAGGACAGGAGTGAGAGATGGAGGGCTGCCACTGACAGGAGTGGCTAGCTTAGCTGGCTTTCAGGCCTGGCCTGAAAAGTGACCAGAGCAGGAGTTGCTGCCGGCATTAAAGGAGCAGGACCTGGCAGAACTCATTTTCCAAGTCAGTCTCCCAACAGCAAGGAAAACAGCAAGGGACTCCAAAACCCTCGCCAACACTGCTCTTCACCCTAACCTCCACACACCCCCTAAGTCTAGCCCTTAGGAAAAGACTATTCTATACAGGGTGGGGTCCTTGAGAATTGATTCACCTGCCTTACAAGGACACAGCAGGCCCTAGATGACAGACAAGACATTTACAACCCAAAGTTAAATAATAATGACATAGCTACCATTTAATTGTACCTAATGCCAGGCACACTGCTAAGGGCTTTTTGTCCACGTCTCATTTAACCCCTGCTGTAATTCTCTGTGTTTTCCCCATTGCTATAATGAGGAAAGGAAAGACCAAGGTTAAACAACTCACCCAGAATCAAACAACTGGAAATAAGTGGGAGTCAAGGTTGGTCTGGATTGAAAGCCTATTTCCTTAACCACCAACCCATGCAACTGGGATCTCAAGTTTGACCCAGATAACCTGTCTCTGTATCTCACATCTTGCTATAACTTGCAAAAACTTGTGGGCTAGGTGGGGAAGTGCACACACCAGTTCTCTTAGTCTCAAAACCAGGATAAGAGGAAGGTCCTTAATCCCCACTTTACTCAGTCTCAAGGAAACTAAGTCATTTACGTGAGGATTTGCTCAAGTTACCTCCCCTTTCTGACCTCAGTTTCCCCATTTGTAAAATGAGGTTGCCATTTACAACTATATAGACCTCTCAGGAACTTGGAGTCTTTCCCACTTGCTCGTAGCCATACTTCTAGACTCGCAGCCCAGGGATGCTGGACCCTCACTCACCACGTACTTGGAGGGCGGGTCCTTGACAACGGTGGCGCTGGTCACTTCGAAGAGCAGCCGCTGGGGTGCCAGGGTGTTCCGGGACTTCTTCCAGAAATCCTGCAACTGCCGCGCCAGAAGCTGACTGCCCCGCTGCCCATCAGGTGGGGGGCTCCGTTCTGCAGACACATGACCAGTCACATCAATGGGCCAGGGTCAGTATCGACCACTCCCATGACCTCACTCGTCCTCCCAGTGTAAGGCTGGACTTATCCCCACTTTACAGAAATGGAAACTGAGGAACAGAGAGGCACCGAGGAACCAAACACCATGCCTGGTAGACAGTAGGGGATAAATTAAAAGCTCCACCCTCAAAATATCGCTAGCACATCATTTCTATTCGGATTCCAGGCCCTATACATTTAATGCCCGCAGCAACTCTGAGATAAGAGTGAGTTCTCCCACTTGACACAAGGGAAAACTTGGCTCAGAAGGGTGTTAAGACTCTCTCAAGGTCACATAGCCAAGTGGTAGCCCAGGCGCTTTAAGTGTGGGAGTTTCAGCTGGATCAACTTAGCGCCCTGGATGCTCTGGGAACGCGGCTGGGATGGAGGCCTAACCGAGCCCCAGGGTTCCCGCCTCCGTCCTCCCGCACTCGCCTGCGTCTTCTCCTGACGTCCCGTCCCCAGGGGGCAGCGGGTCGGGGCCAGTCTCCTCGTCGTCCTCGTCCTCGTCGTCCTCATCGTCCTCGGCGCTGGTGAAGCTGAGGGTGCCGCTGAGTCGGGAGGACAGGCCCTCGGCGTCGTCGTCCTCCAGCTCTGAGCTCTCCGGGAACTGCTCGGCCTCTGGCCTGGCTGCCGCCGCCTCCCCGGGGCTGTCGCCGGCAAAGGCGTGCCGCAGCCGGTACAGGAGCCGGGAGGCCATGGCACCCTGGGGGGAGCGCACCACCCTGGGTCCTGGGTCCCGGAGGAGGAGGACCCCTGCCCGGCGCTGGAGGAGGGGCGGGGCCCGGACCGGAGAGGGAGGGGCGCGGTGAGGCCCCGCCCCCTGGCAGCCCGCTGTCCTGTGAACCCGGGGACCCAGCCCGCGTCGCTTTCCCCCCACCCACTCAGCCTAGGACCGCGTTCCTCCCCGGAGGGGCTCGGGACCCTCTGGACGTCTCTTGCGCCGCCTCGCGCGCCTCTACCTCCTGCGTCCCACGGTGCATTCAGGAGCGCACCGCGCCCCAACGGTCCCGGTGCAGCCCCCCGGAGCCCAGGGAGGACGGCCAGGCTCTTTGGGGACTCTGCCGGGCTCAGGCCGCTCCCAGCGCAGCTCCGGCCGCTTCCTGCCGCCGCCCCGCCTCCTGCCCCGCCCGCTCGCAGGAGCCGCCCGAGAATCCCGGGCCCTTGGCTTCAGGAGGGACTTAGGAAGCCTGGGTCGGCCTGAGGGAGTCCCAGGCCTGCCGCAGAATCATCCCAGTTCGGCCAGGCGCGTACCCTCCTTGAGTCCTCCCACCCCTTCCGAGACACAGGTCAGCTCCAATCTGTCCCACTCATTTCCACCCAACGCTCTTTTAACTTCACGAAATAATAATGCTGTATTAGGGAGGCCATGTCTCCCGTGAGAAAACGAAGGCCAGGAGAAGATGCGTGATTTGGGTTGGACTCTGACCTCGCTGGGCCTAGGTTTTCTCATCTATAAAACAGGAACAATACTGTTAAAACTAATTTTGCCCCTCTTGTAAGAACCCCACATCCAATGCCTGGCATACAGAAAGGGCTGAGGAAATGATCACTTACAAAATGATTATTGTTTCTACAGTGTTCGCAGGCTTGCACAATCTCGTTTGAACCTCACACATGGGAAGTAGGCAAACGGGGAAACTGAGGCCCAAAGAGGGTGAGTTACTTGGTTAAAGCCACACAGCTTGCCAGAGGCCTGCCTGCCTTCTCCCCTCCCCTCCGCTTCCCTTCCCTTCTTCCCTTCCCTTCCCCCTTTCCTTCCCCTCTCTCTCTCTCTCTCTCTCTCTCTCTCTCTCTCTCTCTCTCTCTCTCTCTTTTGAGATGGAGTCTCTGTCACCTAGGCTGTAGTGCAGTGGCACCATTTCGACTTACTACAACCTCTGCCTCCTTGGGCTCAGGTCATCCCTTCCACCTCAGCCTCCCAACTAGCTAGGACTACAGGCTAATTTTTCTATATTTTGTAGAAATAGGATTTGGCTATATTGCCCAGGCTGGTCTTGAATTCCTGGGGTCAAGCGATCCACCTGCCTCTGGCTCCATAAAGGCTGGGATTATGGGCCTGAGTCACCGCCCCAACCCAGAGGTCTCTGAGTATGGGGCCTGGAGCCCAGGTCCCCTGCTGCATACTGTCCTTTTCCCATGCAGCAGGCCTGAACATCTCAGTGGCTCCTCAGCTTTTTCTTTCTTCTTTTAAAATGGAGTTTTGTTCTTATTGCCCAGGCTGGAGTGCAATGGCATGATCTAGCTGGGATTAAGGCATGTGCCACCATGCCTGGCTAATATTTGTATTTTTAGTAGAGATGGGGTTTCTCCATGTTGGTCAGGCTGGTCTCAAACTCTTGACCTCAGGTTATCTGCCTTCCAAGCACCTTGGCCTTCCAAAGTGCTGGGATTACAGGCATCCAAGCCCAGGACATCAGGAGAAGATGCAGAGGAGTGAGCAATGGAGCCGGACCCCCAGTTTTGTTTTATCTTTTACCCTCAGGGCAGCTTCAGGTGGGAGAAAAAGTTATTGTGGCTTCCTTTCAAAAAGCCTAGATATCAGTTGTTAGGGCAGATGTTGATAGTTATACAATACAACAAATAAAACCAAAATGTATCCCAAGTAACTCCTACCCTTTCTGAGTGGCACAGGAGAGAGGGGTGGGGGAAATGCCTTTGAATAAGTAGGTGTTTCAGCTCCCTGCCTCCATGTGAGCAGAAAGGCTGGGGTTATTTTCTGAGGGTCCACTGTCTCCTACAACCTGCTCTAGGCACTTTACATACTGTCACATCTCGCCCTCACAGCGTCCTGGGGAAGAGGTTGTAACTGGACAGTAATGGCCCACTGTCTTTTCTTTTTTTAAATAATTTTTTTTAAAAATAGAGATGGGGGGTGTCAACATGTTGGCCAGGCTGGTCTCGAACTCCTGACCTCAGGTGATCCACCCATCTCGGCCTCCCAAAGTGCTGGGATTACAGGCGTGAGCCACCATGCCTGGCCAGTAATGGCCCATTTTCAAGATGAAGAAACTGAGGCAAAGTGACTTCTCCAAGATCCACGTCTCGGAAATAGAGAGGCTGGGATTTAAACCTAAGTTTGTGCAATTTCTTCTTTCTCTTTTTTTTAGGGAGGGAGATGGAGTCTTGCTCTGTTGTCTAGGCTAGAGTGCTGTGATGCAGTCTCAGCTCACTGCAACCTCCACCTTCCAGGTTCAAGCAATTCTCCTGCCTCACTCTCCTGATTAGCTGGGACTACAGGCATGCACCACCATGCCTAACTAATTTTTGTATTTTTAGTAAAGATGGGTTTTCACTATATTGGCCAGGCTGGTTTTGAACACCTGGCCTCAAGTGATCCACCTGCCTCTGCCTCCCAAAGTGCTGGGATTATAGGCATGAGCCACCATGCCTGGCCAGTTTACACAATTTCACACCTCAAATTACTCCTTCATTCGGCTTATGGGCAAGATATTGGAAAAACAACAACAAAAAAACACACTTCATTCATTCATTCAACACTCACTCATTCACCAACCATTGGTTAAAAATTAACTTGTCCTTTCATATATGCCTTACATATCTGGGCACAAAGCTGATCTTCATCAAACCATGGGTTGTTAGAGCAGGAGGGCCCCTCAGAAATCTGGCCCGTCACCTCCATTTTACAGATAGGTAGTCTGAGGCTTAGTGAGGGGAAGGATTATGCCAGGCTTACAAAAACGGTCAGAACTAGGAAATCTCAAGGTCTTGCATTCTCCACTATTAATATTATTCCTTCTTCTTTTTTCTTCCTTCTTCCTTTTTCATTTATTTATATTTATTTATTTGAGACAAAGTCTTGCCCTGTCACCTAGGCTGGAGTGCAGTAGCGCAATCTGGGCTCACTGCAACCTGCGATTCTCTTGCCTCAGCCTCCCAAATAGCTGGGATTACAGGTGCCTGCCACCACACCTGGCTAATTTTTGTATTTTTAGTAGAGACAGGGTTTCTCCATGTTGGTCAGGCATGTCCAGAACTCCTGACCTCGTGATCTGCCCGCCTCAGCCTCCCAAAGTGTTGGTTTTATAGGGATGAGCCATTGTGCCCAGCCTTATTTTTATTTTTGAGACACAGTTTCACTCTATCACCCAGGAGTGCAATGGCGCAATCTCGGCTTATTGCAACCTCCACCTCCCAGGTTCAAGTGATTTTCCTGCCTCAGCCTCCCTAGTAGCTGGAATTACAGGCACGTGCCACCACGCCTGGCTAATTATTGGATTTTTAGTAGACAGGGTTTCACCATATTGGCCAGGCTGGTCTCAAACTCCTGACCTCAAATGATCCACCTGCCTTGGCCTCCCAAAGTGCTAGGATTACAGGCGTGAGCCACTGTGCCTGGCCTCTTCTTCCTTTTTTAGAGACAGAGTCTTGCTCTGTTGGCCAGGTTGGAGTGCAGTGGTGCGATCATAGCTCACTGCAGCCTCAAACTGCTGGGCTCAAGTGATTCTCCTACTTCAGCCTCCCAAGTAGCTGGGACTACAGATATGTGCCACCATGCCTGGCTAATATTTTATTTTTTGTAAATGTGGGGTTTCATGTTGCCCAGGCTGATCTTGAACTCCTGGCCTCAAGAGATCCTCCTACCTCTGCCTCCCAAGGTGCTGGGATTATAAGCATGAGCCACCATCCACCATTCTTCGTTTTATTTATTTATTTTTTTATTGGAGATAGGATCTCGCCTCCCAAAGTGCTAGGATTACAAATGTGAGCTACTGTTCCCATTTTTAAACTCTGTATGGATATCTCCTGCAGCCTCCCTGAGAAATGGTCATCTATCTACTGCTTGCATATACTTAGCTACAGGGAGCTCATTACCTTCTGAGGCTGCCTGTTCCCATTTTTGTTCAACTATGACTGTTAGGAAGTTCCCCCTTATACTGAACTAAATACCATCCAGTTCAGTTATTCTTTTATTCTTTCCTCTTTTCTTTTTTTTTCTGAGACGGAGTTTCACTCTTGTTGCCCAGGCTGGAGTGCAATGGTGCGATCTCAGCTCGCTGCAACCTCTGCTTCCCAGGTTCAAGTGATTCTCCTGCTTCAGCCTCCCGAGTAGCTGGGATTATAAGCATGTGCCACCACGTCCAGCTAATTGTGTATTTTTGGTAGAGACAGGGTTTCTCCATGTTGATCAGGTTGGTCTCCAACTCCTGACCTCAGGTGATGTGCCTGCCTTGGCCTCCCAAAGTGCTTGGATTATAGGTGTGAGACACCATGCCTGGCCCAGTTATTCTTATGTAGAATATAATATCTGTTGAACACCTGCTATGTGGCAAGTGCTGAGTACTGGAAAATGTGATGGTCTATGAAACATAGAATGGGTGGTGATCATAAGGCATGCTCAGTGCTCTGATTGAGGAAACTACTGGAGACCACCTTGGACTCCCTAGCCTGGACATAGGGGAGGAAGGATCTCCTAGGAAGTGACGCTAGAGCTGAGAAAGATGATAGGGAAGTAGACAGATGAAGGGAGGGAATATGGGAGTTTCTGGCAGAAAAGACCAGCATATGCAAAGGCCTGAAGGTTCGTAAAAGGTGGTGTTTAGAGTAGTATTTTAAAGTCTGACCAGAACAGACAGCAACACAATGTGGAGGGGAGGAGCAGGGAGATTAGAAGGGCCAGTGGGACCTTGCTTGGCCACATTCAGGAATTTGGGAGGCTGGAGGATCACTTGAGTGAGGTCAGGAGTTCGAGACCAGCCTGGCCAACATGATGAAGGCTTGTCTCTATGAAAAATGCAAAAATTGGTTGGGCACAGTGGCTCATGCCTATAATCCCAGCACTTTGGGAGGCAAGGGCGGGTGGATCACCTGAGGTTAGGAGTTTGAGACCAGCCTGACCAACATGGAGAAACACTGTTTCTACATGAAATACAAAATTAGCTGGGCGTGGTGGTACATGCCTATAATCCCAGCTACTCGGGAGGCTGAGGCAGGAGAATCACTTGAACCTGGGAGGCAGATGTGGTGAGCTGAGATTGCACCATTGCATTCCAGCGTGGGCAACAAGAGCAAGACTTCATCTCAAAAAAAAATTAGCCAGGTGTGGTGGTATGTGTCTGTAATCCCGGCTACTCAAAAGGCTGAGGTATGAGAATCACTTGAACCCAGGAGGTGGAGGTTGCAGTGAGCCAAGATTGTGCCACTGCACTCCAGCCTGGGTGACAGAGTGAGACTCTATTTCAAAAACAAAACCCAAAAAGCAAAAATAACCAAATTGGAATTGGAATCCCATGGGTCTCACCCTTTGGCT